CACTGCAGCAACTCCGTATATGGGTCGCCAGCTCTACCGACTGAGCTAACTGGACGCCGGTTTTGGTCATTTCATTAGATTTGTTGACAGTAAGGAAAAATACAGAATCTCTTTCCTTTAAGGGTATTATTTCCATCAAATTACGACAAATTTTTGACTTATTTAATGACTGTAAATTAAAAAAAATGCACCACTAAGAGAATACAGGTAGCTTTTTAATTATAATTGTATATTTTTCCTTGCTAGTTAGATTCTTGTTTGTGGATAATGGAAACAGTTGTACTCACACATTCTTCCTGGTTCCAGGTTCAACCAGTGTTTCGGGGTCTTCGGTGTGTTGGATCGGCTCCACGGCACTGACACCAAATTCAGGCAGACCAAGCAGTACGAGCGCCACACCCTGCTCACCAGTCTCACCCCTCTGAACGAGAGCATACCCGACGAGCCCAAGAAAGGCCATTGATGACCCCTGACCCCTGACCTTCAATCTCAGGCCCTGGCCTCGCCAAGTTTGGGATTGGTTCCTGATCAATCTTAAATGACTATCAGATTTTGATTATTTTAATCCAGAAAATCCGTTGATCAGTTTCAGACAGTGACCATCTTTTATTTTTCCAGGTAGAAATGTTGTTGCACTTTATCCGACATGCACATTTCATTAAGTTTGGCCTCTATGTTTACTGTCGCCGTGGAGACGCCTGTCACTGTGATTATTTTTAACTTTTTTCCCCCCCATGATATCAACTTCATGTGACCTAGAAAGGCTGCTATTGTAGTTAATAATGTGGTTTATGGATGGTAATGTACGGAGCTGTCAGTAGTTTGGGGTTATTGTCTGGTAATATCTTAGGAAAGTTTATGCCAGGTGCGTGATTTTAAAATACAAAATATTCACTGTAAGTCAAATTTATGGGATGGAATCTTCTTACACAACTAGCTTGGGTATCAGAGGTATTCCTGCTAAGGTAGATTTAAGAATATGGTGATTGATGAGGGTGAAAATAAATAATTTCTAAGCATGATGAGACTTCACTGCACCTTGCCATGACTTCCCTTCTCAGGTGAAAGGAGACATATTTAACAGTCTGCTGTTGTCTTTCCTCAGCTTTTCAGACATGAGCGTCCAAACTTGTGTTTTAGGGCTGTTTTCACACATTGAAACAAACTACAGTTCTTATACTCAGTGTGAAGCACATAGTTAAAAATTCATGCTGCGCTCACAGCTCCCAACAGTCCTGAATAACAGAAGAGAGGTAAAGCAAGTTATTTTAAACATGCAAGTCATTTCAATATGAACAGATTCTGGTTTCAATGTAAATTCAACTTCATGGTGGTGATGTTGATCATCTCCCAAATTCCACAAACTTGGTTAAAATGATTGTATATTTGGATCTCTGGGCCTCTCAAAGGACACTTTTCTTCCTGAATCTCTGCTTTCAACGTTAGTGGATTCTGTTTAATCTAGAGTTATTGTTGTAATTCTTATAAACACATTTTATATTTCAAGTCATGTTTAATAAGAGCAACAGTCCAGACTCTTGTGCTGCATTCACTTGCTGCTCAGACGGACAATACATTTGCACTTTTCATTTCCGTGGCACTTAAAATATATTCTTGAATGTTAAATGTCTGTATTACAGGGAGCCCTCAGAAATGTTTGTATAAGAAATAATTGTTGAAAGAGATTTCCTACTGTGATTGATGTTAATGTGTCTACTGGACTGTTTAATATTAAAACATTTGAAGAAAAGATGTGTATAATTTCATATTTTTCCTACTCTTTGGCACCAGAATACAAAATTTAAAAATCAACCCCTTCAAAACAAAACTCAACTCTATTAAAACTGCTACATACATGCTGATATCATCTTGACATAAAGCTAAAACTAGAGATCTGACTTTGGTTGCATTCATTCATTCACTCTCTCACACACTGAAATAATCACTCAGAAGTCGGCGTTTGAGGTTTTTTTGTCCGTTTTGTGTTTTTTTTTTCTTTTTTTTTTATATTATAATATATATAGTCATATTATTTTACTACAAATTATCAAATAACTATTCTGAATAGCGAATTCATCATCAATGGGTTCCTTACATAATGCAATTTATTGAGTGAAATTTTAAATTATTGAATACAATGGATCGGTCATTTCAAGTATTTTATCCATCCATTTATATATTTTTTTGTTGCCTTTTTCCTTGTTTCATTCTTTTTTTGTCCTCTGGATGACAAGCCGTAGGGATTGTATTGTATATGCATTATGAACTATTTTTGGTATGATTGTGTGTGTCTGAGTGGTGGTTGTGATTTTAGGTGGCGAGTGTGGAGTGGTCTCCTTAGGTTGCAGTTATGGCTTTATGGAATTTTGTCCTTTTTTTTTTTTTGTGTCGGAGGGTCTCCAGTGACGCGATCAGTAAGATCCAGCCGATTAATACCTCTAAGCGAGCAATGCACAAACCGCCATGACCGCTCGGTTTCTTGTTTCTCCTTTTTCTGGTCTTCCTTCCCCTTCCATGTGGTTGCCACGGTCCAGCTGACTCATCTTCTCGCGTGTGTGCCGGCCATTTGGGCCAGGAAGTCCTTGTAGAAAGAAGCTGACAGACGGGGTATGCTGCGGTGTCGCCGCCGTG